GCAAAGAAAATGAAAACTCCCTTAGGCAACATTGTTTGGAATTCCAAGATGCACCCTTGTGCACAATATGAGATCATTTGAACAAACTATGCCATGAATGTGGCCATAAGATTGATCATTTGGCTTGAAAGCCATGAATCTTCACGCATGATAGTTCATTTCTGGGAACACTTTTTAAAAATAATTTCTGTATTACAATTTTATTATTGTTCCTGGAAACTTTGTCACATATAATGACACAATGCGAAGGTTTTCCAATTTTTTGATTTTTTTGAATTTTTTATGCCCGTTTCAAAATGCGGTCAAAACAGCGGGCTTGACCGTTCATGGCTAGTGATTGAATCTTGGAAAACTTTTGATGTTTATCTGATTAAATAGATACTTATGTACCTAGAAATGATTTTTGAAAAAATAAAGAGCAAACTATGAGGCAGCTCCAGTTCAAATTTGACCCGCTTCCTGCTGAATCATCGGAAATTTGTCTTTTTCACCAGAGGTGGATCAAAACTTTTGACACCCAACCATTTGGTCAATTGTGCATTAAATATGTCCTAGTATTTTATAAAATTTATTTGGTCCAATTTTACAACAAATATATGGTAGGTCCTTCACAAAAAAAAACTCATTTCGGGCACTCGAAAAATGGAAAATGAATTTTTCGTGCAAAGAAAATGAAAACTCCCTTAGGCAACATTGTTTGGAATTCCAAGATGCATCCTTGTGCACAATATGAGATCATTTGAACAAACTATGCCATGAATGTGGCCATAAGATTGATCATTTGGCATGAAAGTCACGAATCTTCATGCATGATAGCTAATTTCTGAGAACACTTTTTAAAAATAATTGTCGTATTACAAGTTTGTTATTTTTCCTGGAAACTTGGCCACATATAATGACCAATGCAAAAGTTTTCCAATTTTTTGATTTTTTGAATTTTTTATGCCTGTTTCAAAATGCGGTCAAAACGGCGGGCATGACCGTTCCTAGCTAGTGGTTGAATCTTCAAAAACTTTTGATGTTTCTATGATTAAATAGATACTTATGTACCTATAAATGATAACTATGAGGCAGCTGCAGATCAAATTTGACCCGCTTCCTGCTGAATCATCGGGAATTTGCCTTTTTCACCAGAGGTGGATCAAAACTTTTGACACCAACCATTTGGTCAATTGTGCATTTAATATGGCCTAGTATTTTAGAAAAATGATTTGGTCCAATTTTGCAACAAATATATGGTAGGTCCTTAAAAAACTCATTTCGGGCACTCGAAAAATGGAAAATGAATTTTCCGTGCAAAGAAAATGAAAACTCCCTTAGGAAACATTGTTTGGAAAATTCCAAGATGCACCCTTGTGCACAATATGCCATCATTTGAACAAACTATGTCATGAATGTGGCCATAAGATTGATCATTTGGATTGAAAGCCACGAATCTTCACGCATGATAGCTAATTTCTGAGAACACTTTTTTAAAATAATTGTTGTATTACAAGTTTGTTATTTTTCCTGATAACTTGGTCACATATGATGACACAATGCGAAAGTTTTCCAATTTTTTATTTTTTTTAATTTTTATGCCCGTTTCAAAATAGGGTCAAAACACCGAGCATGACCGTTCCTAGCTAGTGGTTGAATCTTGGAAAACTTTTGATATTTATCTGATTAAATAGATACTTATGTACATATAAATGATTTTTGGAAAAAATAAATAGCAAACTATGAGGCAGCTGTAGTTCAAATTTGACCCGCTTCCTGCTGAATCATCGGAAATTTATCTTTTTCACTAGAGGTGGATCAAAACTTTTGACACCCAACCATTTGGTCAATTGTGCATTAAATATGGCCTAATATTTTAGAAAATTGTTTTGGTCCAATTTTGCAACAAATATATGGTAGGTCCTTCACAAAAAAACTCATTTTCAGGCACTCGGAAAATGGAAAATGTTTTTTTTTTGCCAAAAAATCATTTCTGAAGACACATTTTAAAAGATATTTATCTTATTTCTTGTTTGTTATTTTTCCTGAAAACTTGTTCACATTTGGTGATACAATGAGAAGGTTTTCCATTTTTTTTGAATATTTCACGTCATAAAATAGCTGACATGATTTTAACACATTAATTTTAGTCAACCACGACCAATTTAGATGGTCATAACGTCGTATTGTAATCTGATTGATTCATGGACGTGTCACGCGAATCGTGCATCAAACACCGTCGGATGATCGGGGACCCAACGGCAATCCTCAGCCCTTCCACACCATCCCCGAAACCCTAGCTCTGTCCTGTGGTCATTTTCCATCCACTCCCGCCTCCTTTCTTTCCCTCGCTCTCTCCTCCCCCTTCTAGATCCAGCAGAGCTCCTCTCGATCCCCTCCCCTTCCTCCCCGCTGTCGCGAGGTCGCACCCTCCATGCCAGCCCCTCCCACTCCAGCTGTCGCCCCCATTCTCTCCAGATCCAATCCAAGTCCCCCTCGTCCACCGCCCCCTTCCTCCCGTCACTACACGAACCTCGCCGCCGACCCACCCCTGGTCCTCCCGCCACTTGAGCGCGCCACCCACCGCGTCCACAGAGACTGCCGTGGACCTGCGGTGCACGAGCTGGAGGACGGCGGGGGAGGCCAACAACCTGGCGCCATGGGCCGTCGTGCCGCAGGACTGCGTGTCGCACGTGCACGCATACCTCACTGGCCCCGCCTACCGCTTCGACCTCGACCTCGTCGCGGGGAGGCCTCCGCCTACGCCCGCGCCGCCGCCGCCACCGACGCCTGGGTCTTCGACATCGACGAGACGCTGCTCTCCAACCTTCCCTACTACGCGCAGCACGGATACGGGTGGGCGACCCACGCTTGTCACATTCCGGGATCGCGGGCCTGCTATTAACGCACACGGTTAATTTGTTGTTTGATTGCAGGCTGGAGTTGTTCGACCACCGGGAGTTCGACCGGTGGGTGGAGACGGGGGAGGCGCCGGTGATCCCCTCCAGCCTCCGCCTCTACAGGGAGGTCCGCGACCTCGGCTTCAAGACCTTCCTGCTCACCAGCCGCAGCGAGGCCCACGAGGGTAGAAAGAGCTGCCGTGGACCTGCTATGTACGTACGCCTCCTCTCCTAATCCCCACACTGCGTTCAGGTTCAGTCAGGAAGTGTCAAGAGCATTCAGGTTCGGGTTCAGTTAGGGGTTGTCGGACTTTAAATTCTCAACATCTACATTGTGAGTAACACAATAGCGAGACCACTTTGTCAGTTTGGCCGCAGCTTGTTAGTCTCGGCAGGTTTCAGTCGACATCTAGCCGATTTAATTTCTGGGTTTGTTTTGTACCTCAACTTGGACTATAACATGTTGGTTGCAGTAAGTGCTGCAACTGGTAGATCAGTGTAGGAGGGCTCCACAGGGTAGAAAAAAGCATTGCTGGGAACAATTCTGTTGGTCCAGTGCACTGTGGAATCAATCAATCAATCCGGCAACAATTTAGATTACTTATTCAGCCATAATAGCTCAATCCGTTCCAGTTATGGTCGTGCCTTTGTCCACAAATACACATTGTTCTACAATCAATCTTTTTCCAATCTACAAATAGCATATGTTAACTCCGTCCGCTATATTGCTTTTCAAGTCACTGTGTTGTTCTTTCATTGGCATTTAGTCTGCTGTTGTATGGTTTAGAAGCTCGGATGGGATTGTGCAGCCAATCTCTCTCCAGTTACTTTGCACATGTAGTACGGATTAAGTTCAAGAACTGCTTCTGTAGCATCATTGCTTTTCCCCAGCAAGCTCAGTGAAAAGATGCATTGGTTGCTTTTGGTGCACATGGAGGAATATTTTTCTATAAATTAACTATTGTGTAGTGAATTGTACTGCTGGAATAACATTCTTCTATGAAATAACTATTGTGTAGTGAATTTTGCTGTTGTAGATCAGATGGCATGGAATAGGCATTAGTCTAAAAAGATTTTTATTTTTCTGGCGCCTATGGGTTCTTGGCCTTTGTTTATCTGTTATGTTGTGTGCTGTGCAAATATACATAAACCACACTAACCTACTACTGCTATTTTCAGGTATGCCATCATAAAAGCCTTCTGTGTTGCTTTTGTCATGACATTCTTCTTTGTATTTGCCGCTGTGCCAGTCGTAGGTGCTGCTGCTACATTTGGCGGAGCTACCGCTGCCGCCCCAAAGGGCAACCTTCATCAGACACTACCTCATAACAGTGCCTCAAAGTTCTGTGCCCCATCTCCCCTCTTTCTAATTTACCAAAATAAAAACATTGTAAATACTAGTAGGAAAACATGTTAAATCTTTTGTGTATAGAACTGGAATAACCTTGCAGTTTGGTTCCGCAGAGTGGTAAATTCAAGCTTACGCTTTATGGGTTTGTGTTCCTTGGTTTTATTTTCCTTTTGATCTGTACTGTGAGTTGGCTAGTTCTGCACTTGTCTTCTTTTTTTCAACCTTGTTTCATACTAGTAGAAAAATATGGAACCAGAACTATCAACAACTTTTGTGGGAAATACTGATCTTGACATTGTGACAATTCATCCTGGCGTGACGTGGGTACTGTTTGAGCTTATTTTGTGTAGTGTCCACCTAAGAGCGGTGATTTTGTTGTTACGGTTCAGAATAGTGTTTTTATACTTGATCAGCGCACCTCTACTATTATGGTTACTTTTGATTTCTTCTATGTAGTTGTCCAGGGCATGACAGTTTTATGTGTGGCTTGTTATTGTGTTACCAGCCTACTTTCTTGTACTGACTCTACAATCAGTGACACAGCTCTTATGATTTTTGTATTACCGATGGCTTAATATTTAAACCGTTTAGCTTGATTTAAAATTCAAATCATAGGATTTTTTAATCTCATTTTGAATTGTTTGTAGTTGCTCCAGGTCCTTCTCTAGCTGTGTTTATAACTGTCTTTGTTCCTTTTTCGATAACAGGACCAGTTTGACACGATTGACTTGTCGGACTACGAGATTGTCAAGCTTGACAACTTCCCTTTCATGAATCGCCCAGCGAGCCCGCACCTGATTACAACTTACAATGAGAGGGAGCAGGTGACGCCCAGGGAGCTCAGCATCCGAGTCCCGGCCATCCTTCACAGCAAGGACGAGGACGGCGTCAAGGGCTGCCGCGTCGCCGGAGCCATCAACAACTACACCTCCCAGCTCCTCACCTACGGATCATCATCACAATCGCCATCTTGTAAATCTTCCCGCCAATGTAATGTTTAGTTAGATCATACAAGCTTCAGCACATCACTTTTGGTTGACTGAATTCGTACTGAAGATGCCATGTTTTTCTGCGTGGAATACTGCAGATAACCTGACGGAAGCGCTCTTGTTTCTCTCACATTTCATCGGCGACATCCACAAGGTAGTACTCCCGCCAAACCCCCAAGTGCCCGATTTTTGCAAGTGTTTCTGTTGCGGGTTGCAACTTAAGCCGATGCTTCTTGTTTATGTAGCCACTAAAATCTGTACTTCACCATGTAAGGCTAGTTCAGACTTGAGGCTGAACCCTTCTCTGTGTAGTATGATTTCGAGGAAACATATGTCAATAATGCTAAAACTTTTCACGTTGGCGTTGCTATGTTTGATGTGGTTGTGCCAAACAAAACTCATATGCTTATGTTGCGCTTACTTTTAATCTTGTGAACATGCTAATTTAGAGGATGTACTGTAGTTCCACTCATTTATTCTGTGTGATGAGCTTACTTTTGTACTGCAGCCACCTTCTTGTTTACTTTGCTGAACCATGTCTTGTGTACTAATCATGAGTTACTAGCATTTGGCTTCTCTATGCTATATGTATACTTCTGTGAGATACAAATTCGACATTGCATGTTTAGGAGGTTCAATTTCTACAGGTGTTGCCAAATGAATGTGTCAACGTGTCTCTCCTTAGGGGTTGATTAAACCGCATATGATCTACTGTATCAATTTCTTGCTGTTCAAACATTGAAATTCTGGTTCATTTTTCAAACATTGAAATGTTGTTGACCCTATCTTTCTATGCTTAAATGATAAAAATTTCGCATTTTGCTTGTTCTAACCATTTTGCTTGATAACTTGCAGATGCTGGCCTTCATTCCTGTTTTGTCGTGAGGTCCAGGATGAACAAGTTGGGAGAAGCATTGGAGCTAGTTATACTGTGATAGCTGTGTTACCTGATGTGAACATTTTTTATTGTAAAACTAATGTGAACCATGTTTGGTTTTAATAATGTGCCAAGTTTGGCTCTTTTTGATTGTATTCATGATGTGAACCATATTTTTCTGGATTAGTCGTGCTCTGTTCGAAGCATTTTGTTTTCTCTCTGTTTTGATTTAAATATTGTTATTTCTTTACTGGAAAATTGAGATCTGAAGAATATAACAGTGACAACTGGGACCCACTTATTAGATCCTGACAACTGGGTCCCATCTCACTAGTGGGCCTGTCTTCTGAAAAAAAATTCAAAAACTTTGGAGCCAGAAAGGCCATGTCCTAGAAAATAAAAAGGCCAAATTATTGGGCCAGGCCCATGTATCTAGAGAAAATTAATAGAAAAAATATACAGTAAAAAGGCTGAATTGTTGGGCTCGGCCCATGCAAAACGCCGAATCGGACCGGGCTGATTCTTGTGCCACATCAGCTTGCCATGCTGGATGCCTAGGTGGCCTGAGGAGGTTGCTAGTGACCAAAAATTTGGTCGTGGAACCAACGACCTTTTACATATCACAAAGAAGGCCACTAATTTCATTTTACGACCGCCAGCTTTTGACCTTCTATTTTTGGTCACAAAAAGGTCGCAAATGAAAAACTATGACCTTTCAGCGGCCAATAGTGAGGGTCACAAGTTGACATATTTCTTGTAGTGGGTAGAGTAGGGCATGAGACACGAGCTGGCTCACGGGACTCGAGGCGCCGCTGTCTCCATGCTCTACTCTTCCTCGCCGGAGCCCGGAACCCGAACGGTGCCGGTGGACATTAGATTGATGAAGAATCCGTCTGGGGACGAGCCACCGACACCCACGATGATGCAGTTGCGTCGCCCGAACTGATGCCCCATACTGGGCGCCAGAGAATGCGCCTTACCGACGACTGCCGCATCCGGTGCCCGGTGCCTTGCACGGCGGGCACGCCGTGCCATGGCCTCGTGGGACGATGGTGCATCCCGAATATCGGGGCGCCAACGGAGGTGTTGCACGTCCGTCAGCGCGTTCGGGCGTCAGGCGGACCGCACGGCCTCCGGCGAGGCAGCTACGACTGGCCTAGCGCCGGATCCATGCGCTACTTGGGCAGATGCAATGGATTCTCGACGGATGGAGTCCGAGCGCAGCCGTGCACGGGCCTCCTCCAGGGCATGGTGGAGCGTAAGGTGGACGGTCATCTCCTCCTCGGTCCCGTATGTGATGAGTTCAGGGTCGACGGATCTAGAGCGGAAGGACTCAGATCCGCTGCCCGTCATGCCAGATCCAGCCGGAAGAAGCCAAAGATGAGCATGGATGGCGGAGGGGATTGGATGGAAGGGAAGTGAAGTGACTAGGTTTGGTCCGACGAGCGAATGGGGAGGATTTTATGTGGGTTTGGGTGGGCCAACGTTGGCCGACTACTCTAGTTTGTGTCCATGAACCGTGTAAACATATTCCTCTCTTGGTTTGTTCCGCTTCATGCCAGGAACGTAACATGCATATATACATATTTTAGTACTACTAGTATAAGTAGCTGTAGCCAATTAGTGATGGTGGCACAGAGTGATGAGCATCTGTAAGAAAGAGCTGGGACTGTGAGATCCATGTGTATTATATACATCACTACTCATATGTTATTGTATATACAGTAGACTACGGTTATTGACTTGTTTGTCGGTGACATGCAAGCATATACAGGTATACTCTATTCCATTAGTACTCCTGTATCCTGTCAGTGAGATTCCACTATGCACATATGCTCTGTTCATGTCAGAGAAGTGAGACATGCCACAGTGTTTCACGCACGCACGCACGCTCAGCAACATCTTCTACCTATCGTATCCATCTCAGTCGCGTGCAAAAGTACAAGGTGGTGATGGTACGTGCGTGCGTACGTGCATGGGCCAACGGAGGCGCTGAATTGTCTCGTTCGATTGGACTCGTCGACCGGCCATTCCATATGCGCCCGATGCTTGGGACGGACGGACTTGTGGAATGATTGCGCCCGTGGCCGGCCGTTGTACGTCGCCGTGGAGATGCTGCAAAGAGAAGGAAGGGGTGGCCTTGGCCGTTTACCCTTGGCGTTGAACGTTCCCCGGAACTGGCTGCTTCCTGTATGTCTATCCGTGGATGATTGCCGGTGAAGGAACGGTGAGGAGCCACAGGTTCTTCCTTTCCTATTTCTTTCGCATGATGATGAATGATACGATGGATGACAACGTGCTACCGAAAATGGGAAATGCGGTTCTCCGTGGGATCTGTGACAGGAACTAGGAGTTGTTCCACTTCCATCAGAGACAGGGCTCGTGTCACGTTGATATCTTTTTTCTGTGACGCCATCATTCGTTCAGATGATTGTGTCGTGTGATTAGAAGATGGATGGTTCACAACTCAATTTCAATGATTAAATTATTGGACACAACAACCATTGTTACCCGAAAATTTTCATTATTCTAGGGCTGCAAGAAAAACTCGAGGATCGTGAGCCGCTCGATACCAACTCGTATTATAGCTCAACTTGGGATCAACTCGACAAAAAAGAGCTGAGTATAATCACTTTATGTAGCTTCATCAAGAAACAAGCCGATCTTGAGGCAGCACTAGCTCGCTCATTTTAGCTTGATAACCCGATATCATATGATTATATTACATAATTTTGAGATATAAAAGGGGGATAATTTATTACCATATAGAATCAAAAAATATTACAATATATGTTGTGTACGAATTTTCTTCATTTTACCTATTACAAACATAGAACCTTAATTAAGGGCGACGAAAATTTAGCCGCGATATGTTATGTGGTCAGCCATGTGCTAAATATAATGTTATTTTGGCCATAGTTTGGGAGCGGGCGCACTTTCATTTTCTTCTCTTGCTAGTTCATTTATAATCTTTTGCTATTAAGTACTAGTCTTCAGTTGAGAGAGAGTAATTTGAAGTCTTGAACTATATAGTAGTTTCTTATGTTGTGTTGTGGTATACCTTGTTTGAAAATTTGTCGAAAAATCATCTTATTTAGCTCAAAACTAGATGGACATCGACTCAAGATCGTTACAACCTGAGCATGATCCACTTTCTATAGCCCGGCCTTCAGCTTCACTCGGTTTGAGCTCGGTTGAATTTTTGTATAAGCTGAGTCGGACCATCCCAAAGTGGTCGGACCATTCCTTTGACCTTGCGCAAGCGGGAGCTAAATGCACCGGGCTGCCCTGCCATGAGCTGAGCCTAACCCAATTTGTTTGAACTTGACTCGTTTGCAGCTGTCACACATCGAGCTAAAAGGGCAAAACAAATTCGGACCCCACCACAGGAGGGGCGAGGGGGGTAGACTTTGTAATTTTTTTACAGGAAAGTTAGATTTTGTATTTAAATTACAAAACGTTAACGAAATCTCTATTTCAAATGAGTTACCAACATTATCGACAAAGAATTAAGTAATAACATGTTAGCACCAGCGAGCGATCTCAAATAGTTGGGGCTTTATTTTACAAAACCTGGTGTGGCTTGCGCTTTCAGTTTAAAATAATGCAACATACCTCAAAAATATGTTTTTGTAATGTATTTCTGATAAAACCTCTTCTTTTGCATCGTCACATAATGTAGTAAAATCCCGTTTCAAAAAAAACATAATGTAGTAAAAAAAATTACATATGTCATTCAGCATATTCTAACACTTCGTTTCGGAAATATTGGCTATATGATCTAAAATCACATTTAAAAGATAAGATCAAGTCCTAATTTTGGCTGCCAACTCTTATAAAATGACATAATTTTGGTTCCTTCTCCCAGCTTAAACAATTGAGCACTAAAAATCAATTATTTTAGGATGAACTGCAAAATACGGTTACGTGCATTTATTGTTGCAAAGGCCGGGACGGCGGAATCTTCCCGGGGTAGGCCCATGACGAGGATATGGCCGAGTAGTCCCAAACAACTTGAGTCTCCACCAAGATAACTACTCGGATGGAACGGCATTGCTACAACTGAATCAGGCAAGGGGCATTGAAGACTAGCACTACAAACAATAAAATCAAATCTAGTAATAACGCGACACAATCAAGACATTGGCAATGACTAGCTTTACGGCGCCATTATTAGTATGTATGTGGCCAGGTGGTCATTGTATCCTCTCTTTGTCACCCCCTATATAAGGTGAAGTTCGGGTAAATTCTAGACATGCTCAACAGATTCAACAAGGTCAATGAGATCATATATTGTAACCACATTGTTTATACGAGAAAGAACATCCAACAGGAGTAGGGTGTTAGACCTAAGACACGGGCCCGAACCTGGATCATCCACGTGCGATTTGCCTTCATAAAATCCCCAAATCACGAGTATTACCACGAAATCCCCATGACCCCAGGGTTATCCTCCTTTTTTTATATGACGAGCTATAGAAAAATCCATTATTCATGCATCGAGCTAAAAGGGCAGAACAAATTGGAATGGTTGTTAGATTTTGTATTTA